TTAGTGCAGAAACAATGGATCCATTAGTTGATTGACATAAAATTAATTGTCAATGACAAATCATATTTTGCTGGTTCGAACTTCTTATATGTGAAGCTTTTCTGTTTTATTTTTAACAGTAAATTAAATAGCTTTTGGACTCTTGTTTGGACAAAACATCTGAAGATTAGACTCTGGGAACTTGTGATGGACATTTTTCATTTTTTGCCCTTACATCTTCTCTTCTCTGACTAATCAGTTTACAAAGCAAATAATAGTGAGATTAATTGATAATTCCAAGCCCAAGTGGACAAATTGAAACTTCCTTTGTACGACCAGCAGTCCAATTACTATTATTAACTGTTATTATGGGAGACCAAGAAAGCCAGCAAATATCGACATTTATGAAATCAGAAGCTGTGAATTTTTGGCACTTTCATTTAAACAGTGGCTTAAAAGATTAATCAATTATCAGAACAACTGCTGATTACATTTCTGCCAACTGAGTCATTGTTTCAGCTCTAGTTACTATTGAACGTGAATAGTTAATTTACTATAAAATGATACGTGGATAACAATCCATACTGATAATTCTACTCTTGTCTTAAGTCATCTAACACATGCACACACCACATTTTTTTTTACAGTGTTGCACTGTTTCAAGAAAAGTGTTGTCAGCCAAGGGCCATGCAGTGCTCCTCCCAGACATACCTCAAGTCTCTCTGGAAAGATTGTCCAGCATTCAACAATAGAACAATAGAGCATACAGATATTTATACCCGCTGACTGGTTAACTAATGTGATGCACCACAGGCAGGCGGCTCTGTGCTCTGCTCCATCACCCTCCAAACTGGTAGTGGGAAGGGGAGAACATCACGTGCTTTTACATAATGATCAAGGCATACAGCAAGTGTTGACACAGACGAGTTCATGTAGATCATCGATTACATGGCTGCCAGCACATCATTGGGAGGTGCTGTGATCAAACTAAAGCCCTGTGGCATTGTCACATGCTGGATCTGAGAGATGTGCTTCAGGCTGAGGCTGTGATGGTCTCTCAGTCCTATGTGGGGGGGAAACCAGGTCACTGCTGAATACATCTGAATAGATGATTCATGTTTGTGAACAACTTTATACATCACCGAGAACAAGGAGCCCACATTCGTACTGCGTAGATGCAGTTATTTACAGAGTCTGAATGAGAGAGTTGGCGATGTTAAATAGTCTGAGCTCTTCAGCGGGGCTGACCATGGTCGAAGAATACTGTTGTCTGTCTCGCTCTCTCTCCTCCTCGCTCAGCTGTCTGCCGCTGCATTCACTCAGCCTGGCAGGAAATAATTGCTTGTCCTCCACACAGCACTTCAAATAAAAGAGCTGTGTTAATGAGGGCTTTCCTGCGCCTCTCTCTCTCTCTATCACACTCTCCATCGCTCGCTCATGCTCTTCATTACTCGGTCTCTCCATGAAGTGCTCCGGCTCATTGTTTTTGGTCTGTCTAGAAAGAGTTCCCTCAGAAACAGCAGCATCGGTTTTTGCCCTCAGCTCGCAGTATCAGCTGTTCCTGGCCAGCGAGAGCACCAGCTGAGCAGAGGTGTGTCTGTCTCTGGGATGGTTCAGCCTGAGTGGAGCAGTCTAACTATGGGTGTCAGTCTGACTGAATTAGGCGCTTTTAAGCATGATGATAGTTATTTCAGGGCATCCCGTTGAGGAAGTCTCCCCACTCCTCCCTCCCCCAGACGGTGGAATTTAGGGCCAAGCATAGGAGGAGCTGTCAATCACGGCCTATTGTTGTGCGAAGGGGAGGTAATAAGCTGTAAGCCCTCACAGTGGGAAATGATTCGACAGCAGGCTTTATACACTTGACACTCTCACTCACACACTCACACTGAATCCACAGGAATATATTGGCGACAGCGGGAGGTTGGAGCAATCTCTGCAATTGGATCCTGGAGTTCACTCCTGGTCCTGCTCTCAGGATCATTTCCAGTACCTCTTGTGAAACATAGATGTTTCGTATTTGATTTGGATGTTTGCTAAATAATATAACTCTGTTGTAGATTCATTTTCAGCAATGTTGTTTGATTTGTGCATTCTGTGCAGGACAGATAATTAAGATATGAACTGTAATTGATTTTAAATATGAATTACATTTTTAAGCAGAGTTAGACATTTTCCAGCTGTTCAGTCCCACCACTATGTAATAAATGCAAGTAACTAACACACATATGGTGTCATGCAGAATCTCCAGTCATGTTAATGAGCCACAGAGCATTGCTGTGCAAAGCCATGATGTGTGGTCAGTAAATAAATAATGGGGCATAGAGAGCGGTGCCTCTGTCATGCCAGCAGCAACTCATGGCTGACTTACAGCTGGCACTGAATCACTGCTTAACTACCGGGCTGCTTCTGCCGCCACTGCTGCTGCTGACACAAATCTCAGGCTCTGACCAGGGCTTCAACTCCGCAACAGGCGAAAAGGGGCGTGGAGCTTATCAGTCAATCAATCATTCATTCATCGCCTCCTTGGCTAACAGCTCTTTCGCTGTCAAACAAAATGATTTCTGGTCCTGTTGGATGCTGTCTGTGTTGACAATCTGTTTTAGAGAGACAAATATTTATTTCATGAGGGGTATATATGTCAGTGAGCATATTTCTTTACTGTGGCTTTGCCCACTGCTGTATTCTCACATGGCTCAAGCTGCCACCTTGTCCAGAACTGCATTGCATTTTATCGCACTTGCTCAGTGGCATGTTGATGTTTCTTGCCAGATGTTGACATCTGATCAGGAATCCGGAGGTAGTCATCAAGATTCCCATGGGAATGAAGCAGGGAAAACCAAGGCTCAGACAGGAACAGGACTCTTGAGGAATTTATAATTGCAAATTGGTGCTGTGTCAGCACAGGCCAGGAGGTCAAGTGCTGTAATCAAATTATCCCCTCCTAATTAAATAGTTATCAACTTCATCACATAGGCATGTAAAAGCATTGCAGGGTGTAGCAACCTTATTAGTACTATGAAAAGATACTCTACATGGGAAGCACTTACTTCAGATTTAAATGGAATTGGGATCAATTTCATGGGACAGGACAAGGTTGGCAATGATGAAGTTGGAACAGGACTGTAAGAAAGTCTCACATCTGTATCGCCCTTTAATTTAACCCACTAAAGGCCCCCAGGGGGTGCCTTATCAAAGGGGAGCAGGTAGAGACAGCCCCAGGCTCCAGAAAACCAAGGCAGCTAATGGATACTGAATCAACGGCCTAGGGCTCCTCAGCATTCACCACAGCCGGCGTATTGATGGAGTGTAGTGCGAACATTACAACATGATGCTGTATTATGCCCCGATTGATTGTCTTCTGATCGGCTGTACTCCCCCACCCCCTCCTCAAGGAAAGGCCCTCTCTGTCTGTAATAGGCCTCAGCAGGAGGAGACTAAATGAGCTTTATGGAGCAGTAGAGAAAAAGTTGCAAAAGGATTGGATCACAAGAGTTTTAAAGTGCTTGGCTACTAAGCCATAGATGGACTGAGTGGAGTGTCAGTTGTGAAAGATGCGCGTGGATGGAAGTGCAGAAAGGAGTAACTGGACTGGCAATATGATGTTGCCAAATTGAAACACTGAGGCTAACCACTTAAGCAGCTGTCTGAAAAACCACTCTCCACAGCAAGCCACTGAAATCAGAGTCATCAGTCTGACACGCTATTGAGCTTCTTTTGTTTTTGCCTCAGTATTTGCTCTCAGACCATTCCCATGGCAAAGCCAGAAACATTTGTTTTCACTGCCAGAACTTCATTTTACAGCAGTAACACTTGTTTATCTGCCCTGATGCTTAGACTGACAGAGTTTCTAAAACTTTCAAGACTCCCTACTTGACCACAGGTCTCCTAAAGCAGTCCTGAGGATCAAGGGACCTCCTCCCCACTGCTGGGATATCACAAAAACTCTTCCTGCCAAGAGTAGAATTGGGTTTGGAAGGGTTGGGTATACACAGCAAGCTAGTATAACTTGTTGTGTTCCTGTTGAAAGGCTCCCTGAGCAGCCACCGAGCTGTGCCAGGCTGTTTGTTTGCACGCTAAGCTTTTCAACTGCGTGTTTGTGTGTGTGAGCGTACTTGTGGTTTACTCCTCACCATGCTTGCCCAGTGCTGGCCTGTGATTATCCATGTTGCTGGCTGCAGTTTGGTCTCGGCAGAGTCGGAGTCTCTGGAAGGCTGCAGTCATCCTTCCCTCTACCCCCAGGTCCTCTGCTTCCCCCCAGATGCTGCCAGCTGGTGTCCATTATGCTGCAGGTGTGTGTGTTGGCCCAGGCTGTCTGACTTGGGGTTAGCATTTTGCCTCACAATTTCAGGCCCTGTTCATCTGCACAGCTGATGGAGCAAGATGCTGCTCTTGCTGCACGCATGTTTGTAACAGTTGAGTGGTGAAACACCACAAAAGATGCTTTCAGAAAAGGATGGTTTTATGTGAACCGCCTCTTAGAAAATCAGAGGGATTCTTTGAAAGTTGCACGTGACATTTGTTTTCTTTTCTTTTATTGTTTTTGCTGAATAGGAATGATGATAAACTCAAAGAGATGGTTATGGATTGTGTTGACGTATGCATTTGAGTCAAAAAGGTGGCAGTAGAGCTATGGTTGCTGGTGAGCTCAGTGAGTAGAGCAGCTACACCATGTCCAACTGAATCTCAGTCTGTGACAAATGGGGCCAACCCTGCAGTAATCAGATTAGAGGACCTAAGTGACGTGCTGCAAATGTCCCACCTTGTGATCCTGTGCATTCATTTTATTACAGCTGTGAGCTAATGAGATTAGCCCTCAAAACAGAGCTGCTCCACTAGGAAGCGGCCCCGTAAACCCACCTCTGCAGCAGTTGGGAGCATCAGCCCCCTTTCCCTCTCTGGCCTGTAGGTTCAGTCACCTCTCTTTGTCAGCCGTAGTGTAACTGTGTTGGTGTGTAGCCAGAGTCAGCTCATAGCTCCACTACGAGGCTAATCCATCTTTGTGCCTTGGATCTCCTCCACAGGAAACCCAGGATCAACTCCCAGCTGGTCGCCCAGCAGGTGGCTCAGCAGTACCCGATGCCTCCCCCGCCCAAGAAGGAGCGAAGGGAGAGGAGCGAGCGCACAGACAAGGAGCGCCCGGACGGCGAAGGCGAGCGCGCCAACGGAGAGGGGCGTCCAGAGGGTGAACGTCCAGAGATAGTGAGGCCAGAGGGAGACTCTCCCGAAAAGGAAAAGAGTGACACTGAACAACAGCCAATCAAAGACAAACCCGACAGAGAGAAGGAAATTAGCCCAGCCGTCACGAAGAAGCCCAGCAGCAAAAAGACCAGGTTAGTCTACATGTTGAGTCTTCACTTGTGTCTCTGGATGTTGTCTGCGGTGTTTTATCCTCACCCGTTCGTATGTTTTCCTCCAGACCCAAATCAGACAACCATCAGAGCTCACCCAGCGACAAACACAGCATACAGTCTGGCAAATCAGCAACCAAGACCAACAAGAACTCTCACATTTCCAGGTGTGTAGCACCCTCTCATACACCGCATCTCTCTGGCAGCACACATGGTTTCACATCTATGACTACGCAGCACTTCTTTTTAGAGAAAGTCATGCTGCACAAGGCTAGTGGGAAACCTCAAATGATTCACAAATGATCTTTTACACTAAACACCCACTCTCACTTTATATACACTTGTTCTGACGGTTCATGTGTCACCCGATGAATTGAGCAATTTAGTGTAACCGCCCCCACAGTGCTGGCAGCCTCCCCCTTGTTGTTGCTGAGACACACATATTGTGGTTGCCATTTCTGGTTAATGTTTTTTCTCTCCCTCTGTCTGTCTATGCCCCTCAGGCCCAAACTGAAGAACATTGACCGGAGCACCGCCCAGCAGTTGGCTATCACCGTCGGGAACGTGACAGTGATCATAACAGACTTTAAGGAGAAGACCCGCTCCTCCTCCACATCCTCGTCCACCATCACGTCCAGCGCGGGTTCTGAACAACAGCACCAGAGCTCCGGCTCCGAGAGCATGGACAAGGGCTCGTCGAGGGCCTCCACACCCAAAGGGGATCTCTCTGTGGGGCACGACGAGTCGTTCTGAGGCCCTGTCCCTTTTGTCCCGTCCTCACCTCGCTCCACAAGCCCCCGCCCTTCCCCCCCTTTCCCCCCACATTTCTGGACACTATGGATCCCATAGGGGGAGAGATTTCACCTTTCCCATCGCTGCCCTGCCTCCATTCCATGATCACCCTTGGATGCTGAGAGGAGTTGGAAAGCTGAGAGGAACAGTGCGGTGCGCCTGCCAGGGAAATGCAGGGGGATCTCCCCTCGTGGTTACACCCGTGGCACAGGCGAGGAGAGCAGGGCTACAAGGAATAACACCCCCATCCCCAACCTCCCCTGCGGTAGCATCCAGACACTTGTATGTATTGTTTTATATATGTATGTGGATGTGAGGCCAAGTCGACATTTTTTGTTTTGTTTTTGTAAAGAAGAATTCTCCGCTGGGCACAATAACCACCATCATTTCAATAACTTTAAACTATTATTACCCTTATTTATTACCTGTTGCACCTGTATACTTTGATATTCTCCTTTTTTATGTTGACGCTTTGCTGTGTAGCCCTGCCGATCGATCATTCCTTAAGTGTTTTTATTGCAGTTTGAAGATGATAGGACAAGACTCGAGTCACACGGATACACACACACACACACACACACACACACACATACCACATACACACACACTGGTGCTAGATACACTGTGAAGCGGTTTTGCAGATCTGGGATTGCCCATTCACTCAATGTGACAGAGTGCTGATGAATCAAATTCTCATTCACTTCTCTCAATAACACTGTCTCACTCTGAACACTGTCGGGACCTCCATCAGGTCCGTCTCGTTCTGTACAGGTCAATGTGCATCAGAGGAAGGTCACCTGAGGTTCAGACACCTGACTTTTTCAACTAGATTGTCTATGATTTAGTATGCTATAGCAGATCTCTTATACAGTATCTTATGTCCTTAACTGTACAGTGTAGGCTGTTGTGTAAAACACTAAAAGCTGTTGATATTTTCTGCATTCCGTACTTGGATATTGAGTTTTCTGGCTGAAGTTCGAGCTGTCCTCTCAGCTCTGGAGCCAGAGTGTTTCTTTTCTGTGGTGACTGAAGGACGGTTCCACGCAGTTCCACTTGGTAAAACCATATCGAACTGTAAAATAGACCTGTTTTGTCAAGCTGTTGTGAAATCGATTTCATTTTTCTTTTGTTGTGGTCCTGAAGACGACTTTTGAATCTTCATTCTCTCAATCCCGATATCCCAGAAAACAAGTGCAAAGACACGAGCAATTTGCAAAGATCGACAATTCAGTTGACTTTTTGTTTTTTTTAAATTAATTTAAGACTCCTGTCATTGAAGTTAAAAAAATATTGCAGTAGTTGATAGAACACAATTTGCTCTTTCAATTTTTAGAACAGCAAGGCTTATTTAAGGGTTTTAATTCACTTTCACCTTAGCTGATACTAGACCAACATAATTTCCTTTTAACTGTATGAAATTGTATAAAGAATAAATGTGTATATGATATCTTAGTTTTATTTATTGAAGGACCAAAGGAATTTCATAATGACATGATACATAGACAGATAAATAACAATTTGAAATGCAATTATCTAATGTGTGAGATGAATAACAGTTTAAATAAAGACTAATATAATCCACGTAAATGGTGTTCTTATTGTCCACTTTTCTCTGTACACGGTTAAAATGGGGCAGAGAACTGTCAATACTGTGAGCCGAGTCAAAGGACTCTACTGGCTCCGCACCCTCTGGTGGATCTCGCCTCATTGTGCAGGTGATGAGAAGCTGGCTGGGTGTGGGTTGGTGGCTGGGAAGAGCTCCGGGTCTGCTGGGTCGAAGCCTTTGGCCTTAGTAAGCCCTCCTCTTCACTCTGCTGGACTACCACAGTACATGTAGCTCCCTTAACAGAGGCCCCAACTCACCAATTGAGCCGCTCCCAGAGCAACTAAAACCAGGTTAGGTGAGGTTAACAAGTCCCAAAAATCTCAGTCTATCCTACTAGGATCTGAGGGGCAGGATTTGATCTGTGTCGACTAAAAGCTTTGCAGTTTCACACCTAGGGATGATAATCATATGTGTGTTGTAAGCAATGTTTGAAGTCCAAGAGATGTGTGTTCATGAGGTTTTTCTGCTCTTAAGCTATGGTTAATATGTAATTATGTACTTTATTGCATACAAATATGGAATCAGTGTTCAAAGTGAGGAAAAGCAATGTGAATAGAACTAAAAAGTGGGACTGTTGGGTCAGAGGGGAAAAATGTTTTGTCCAATTTTTACTGAATAAAAAAAAACCTGCTTTGTAATGCAATCTATTAGAAATGGGCCTAAAAAGCCATCTTTTCACCTGCCTTATCTGCAACCACTTTCACTTGACTGAGTACTCCAACAGAAAGGATTCATTGTTAAATTATTGACAAATGGCCATTTGCTGAGTATATGAATTATTGCTTGTATATAGAATTTTAAAAAAAGGTGCAAAAGCAAACACTATGAATGATGGCATTGGAGCTGAAGTCTTTTGTTTCCTGTTTCCTTTCCGCGCAAGCAGTTCTGTTCTTGTGTGCGACCAGTAACCTTAATTTACTGTGTAAAGATGGTTACATTTTTTAGCTTTGTTTGTCAGAGACCCAAATATAGAAGGCTTGTTTACTGACTGTATAACCTTAACCGTGAATTTCCAATTAAGTGTATTATACAAACTCATTTCTTCCTATAACAATGTCTTGTACAATGCTTTTAAAGTTATTGCTCGGTTTAAAAAAGAAAAAAGGAAAAAAAAGTTTTAGGGACAGTACAATAATCCATTCTTTGTTTAATCCAGTTTTAGTTTTGTTTTTTTTTGTTTTTTAACTTATAGCTGATGTGTCATTGTTTCCCCTTGTGAAATGGTCACATTATGTTCCTGGTGTGGAAATGTACGCAGCATTTTCAGCGGATCACGGCTCCTTGTCTAGCTTATAATGTTAAAATAATACATGTTTCTGGCATGTGCACGACTTTGCGCTTATAGGCTAACCTGATCATTTTCCTCCGCTTCAAATAGAAACGTCTATTTATGAATTTTGCTTGTAGTTTTTCACAAATAAAATTGTTAAAGTTATCTATCTTCTGGCTGCTTTGTGTCTTTTTATTGATGCTGTTTCTCCACATACACACGTGCATTCACGCACACACACGTAAGTTCAGATCTTCAGCTGCTTCATACACTCTCTGATAACAGGAAGTGTGTATGGATCTGAGTCGGCAGACTATTGATTGAGATATCCCGGGGAGTGTGTGTTCATATAGAGGAAGCCTCCACAGTGCAGTGACACATGACATGAGGGAGCCCTCATATTGACAACAGCTTTCAATCATGCCTCCCTCCAGAGGCTGGTTAGCAGCCCACTAATGCGCCGTCTAAAAGCTCCAACCAATGACTGCATTCCTTTGTCGCCACTGATAATCTATACTGATGTGCAAGTCCACAGAAAGGAAAAGTGGATGCTCACATTTGTTTTAAAAGCAGATTCACTTTGGTGTTGAGGTTATTCACTGAGGGAGTTTGGCTATTCCTCCTGGTTCATTTATTAATGCGCTTGGTCCAAACATCTCTTTAGCTCTGATGTTTGAAACATAAAAACAGTTTCTATTCTAAAACTTTATGTATCAACTTTGAATTTTTTCCTCTTGATTTTCATCAATCAATATTTAAAAATAAGGGATTTTCATGAATAATAAATCAGGATTTTGCTTCAAATAAATAATGAATCAGAAGAGGTCTTAGTGCAGGAATACTCAACTTGCTTTGCCTAGGGGCCATCTTACAAAATGACAGGAAGCTGGGGGCTAATTTCTAGGATTTAAGGACAATCGCAGTTTCAGCCAGACCTCTGTTGATGGGTCAGGGGAGCATCCTCAAACACCTTTTCTTAAAAAATTAGCTCTATTTTAATGTGTTTTATGCACTTAAGCACTTTTTTTCCATTTGAAGTACAAAAGAAATTCCCAATACGAATCAATTCATTCTGAATTAGAAAATGTTCGACGGGCCAACGAGTACCTTGTTGCGGGCAAGATTTGGTCCACAGACTGTAAATTGAGTATCACTGTGGCTGATCTCTCATTATGGAATACATTTTACATCTTGACCTTTGCAATATATGAATTACTCCTGTGCACAAACTAAATATCCTGCAATACAAACGGGGGCATAGAGTTTAAACAACATGGGTGTTTACCAGATGTGGAAGGTCTAACGAGGAGCATTATAGGAAAGTATTCTTGGAGCTGTGTAGTGTAATCAGAACTAAAAGTCAGGATACTGCTGCCTCTGCTGCATTCACTTTGTCCAGCCATTTTTTTTATCTACATAAAGTTAGCTCTTGTACTGACAAATGAACTGTTTCTGTGTCCTAGCCCCTCAACAGGCAGCATGGGTTAGGAGCACAGAAGCCTCGTACAAGTAACATTAGCATTAAAAGACAAAGGGAAAAAAAGGAACATTAGGAGTTAAGTTAACAGCATAGAGTGTAAAAATAATGGACATAGCTACTGTGGTGTCACCCATTGGTTTCTGGACTAAAGTTTTAAAGCCCTAAGTTTTCTATTTCTGTCTTCGCCATCTTGGTTTTCTGGAGCCAGAAGTTACCATATTTGGACAAGAGGCTGGCGCTGTGGAAGCGTTGGGGGCAGTAGCGAACCTGATATGGGCCGAATGGGCGTTTGCCCAGGGCGGCACTTTGTCACGACGTGTCGGGGGGCAGCAGGAGCAGGTTCGGCTCACTTGACATGCTGCTGTGTTGTGCTATGGCCTATTTAAGTGCTGGAATTTGTTATTTACATGACAACGCCTGAACTCAACACAGGCTCTGCTCCATAGACTTTGTGTACAGTGCCGTGCTGCCGCCACTGGTTGGGGGGGATCTGATAAGAAATTGAGGACACAATCAGCAAACAGCCTGTCACTCAAAGCAACCTACCCTTAATTGTACTTATATATGTATATATATATATATATATATATATATATATATATATATATGTATATGTATATATATGTATATATCTTTAAACCTTCATAAAATGTAAAAGGGAGAGTTATACAATAACTCAACCCATGTACAGTTGTTTTTCTGCTGTAAAGTTGGGCATTTTAACATGCAGTTCCTCCAGGAGCCTACTGGCTGAAATGCCTAATCACAGGGCAGCTTTTTAAAAAAATGCAATGCATGCTGCGATTTATTGCAATGAAACTGCAGGGGCAAGAGGAAATTGCATAAAATAGTTGCCATGCTGTCAGATTTGAAACCCATAATGGCAAGCATTTAATGTGTCCCACAAAATGGCCGCCGTTCGAAGCAGCGCTGAAGGACCGTTCGTGAGTTGCTCTCCTCCTGCTATCCCTGCCCAGTTAGCATGAGCTAACACAGCAGCAGCAGCTAACATGTGACACCAAGCTGTTAAATGGCCCCAACAAGCTAACACCGATGCTGAAATGACTCGACTCTTGTCATTAAACCTGTGAATAAATATTGAGTAATGTTAGCTGTGTTATGCTAACAGTTATTCCTGACACTCTCCTCTGCTGTCAGACACAGCAGTAGTGAGAGGGGCCAAGGAGGGGCTAAGCTGATCAATACACTGCACACAGCCCTGCAATGAAATGAAACTTGACACATTTTAAATAGTCAAATTTGCAGTAAATCTGCAGTGATTGGACAAAATGTCAAGGTCACGCAGAATTCACAGGGATTGGCTGAATTTGCATTAAATTTTTGCAATCGTAACATTGCAACACCCTAGAGGGACTAAACATGGGTGTCAGTGGGGATTGCCAGGCTTCTGGAGCCAGCCTCAAGTGGCCATTCAAAGAACTTCAGTTTTTGCCACTTCTGTGTTGGCTTCATTTATTAGCCCCGGAAGTTGCTGCTTGGTTCAGAGCACAGAAAGTTTTTCATTCTGCATATTAATAGCATTAGCACATCTGAACTTCCTGTCTTATCATAAAACAGCTGATTCTTTCTCACCAGTTCAGTTGCTATATGCTAATTATGCACTGTGAGCGAACACTCAGGCAACGGAGGAATAGTACATTCAACACTTATGGAGCCATTACCACTGAGCAAGCAAAGATGAATGTAGTAGAGATGTAGACTACTGTTTAAGCACTTCATTAGGTCTTTATGTGCCCTTTGTGCATTGCAAGATATGGAGCCCTCTCAGTCCCAAAAGGTGATGCTTTTTATTTTGTGCCCACAAATTAATAATCTTGTGCAAACAAGATAATAACTTGAGTGCACAAGATAAAAAACAACTACCTTTCCAGACTTTAGGGGCTCTGTAGTATGATAGAAACCATTTGTAGAAATGTTTTTGTCTTTTAATTAACTCCTGATTGAGCTACTTGCTGCTTTTACTCTTTCACTTTTACAATTTCATGACAGTAAATCTACTCTGGTAAAATACCATCAACGCAGCAGTTCCTCAGCCTAAGCAGGATATGTTGGTATTCTTTCCACCTCTGGCTCTATATCCCCAGGTATCCTTGAGCCCCTTGTACTTAACCTGTACCCGCTCCAGGGCCACTGAGGACAGTGTACAGAGAATCTCCCCCTTGAGGGATAAATGAAGTATATCATAAAAAGAAAATTGCTTTCAGGTCACT